CTCTCTCTCTCTCTCTCTCTCTCTCTCTCTCTCTCTCTCTCTCTCTCTCTCTCATTTCCCATGTATTTTTTTTGGGGTTAAATCTCTGGTCAGTTTTCCAAAACTTTTGATACATTCGTCTTATATATTGTGCTAAAATACCCACCCTCCTAATAGACCGAGCTAGGACATCTTACTGGTGATATAGGGAATCTTATCTGTTTTTGTTGGTTTTTATCATTATCGTTATTATCGTCGTTGCATGAAAATTTGAGGAGCCGGCTAGGAATCTCCTGGGTCGTCTTGCAGCCAGACGTCCACAGTTCCAGATGGTTTTAACCAGGGAATCTTTCGGGTTTGTATAGAGCATGATGAACCCTCTATTCACTTTAAGGACTTGGGATGATTCCCAATTTCCTGACGGTTATTCCTTATTGCTGTTTTTTAAGCACTAGTTATCGTTATATCGTGGGGAGCTGTTTGTAGTCCTCATTCGAGTCCATTGGTCAGAGGCTGTGATAACTAGAATGAGAACCATTAGGGCCTCGGGATGATTCCCGAATTCTTGACGGCCATTTCTCTTTTTTTTTTTAATCACCATGTAGGCTGACTCTCCTGGATTTGGTGAGCTGACTCATTGGCGAGTGCCCAAGACAACACCCCATTTCTGTTTTCTAAGCACCAGTTATCATTATTCTTGGGGAGCAGATTGTAGTCCTCGATTGAGTCCATTAGTCAGAGGCTGTGATAACTAGGATGGGAACCATCAGGGACTCAGGATGGTTCCTGAATTCTTGACGGCTATTTCTCTTTTTTTGTTGTTTTTTTTGGGGTAATCACCATGTAGGCCGACTCGCTTGGATTTGGTGAGAGCTGACTTAGATTGGCGCGTGCCCATGACAACAACAACCCATTCCTTTTTTTAAGCACTCGGTATCATTATATCATGGGGAGCACATTGAAGTCCATATTCGAGTCCATTAGTTAGAGGCTGTGATAACTATAATGGGAACCATCAGGGACTCGGGACGATCCTCAAATTTGTGATGTTAAATTCTCTTTTTTTGTTATTTATTTTAATTTATTTTTTAAATCACCATGTAGGCCGACTCACCTGGATTTGGTGAGCTGACTTAGATCAGTGAGTGCCCAAGGTAACACCCCATTTCTATTTTTTAAGCACTAGTTATCATTATATCATGGGGAGCAGATTCTACCCTCATTCGAGTCCATTAATTAGAGGCTGTGATTACTAGATTCGGAACCACCTCTGAAGTTGTGTCATGTGTCCGTGGATCGCACTCTCTCTATCATCATACAACCATAGTCAATCTTCTATAGTCTTGGGGACTGTAATAGACTTTCATCTTTTGTATTATTGATGCATGCATTGTTTATACATGAATATTCAGTGGTTTAAGTTGGGCATCTGATGATCTCCCCCGCCCCAGCCCTACTCGCCTACGTCAGATGGGTACTAAAAAGAAATAAAAATTTTCCTTCAAAAAACTGAGAGGCTTGGCAATTCTGGCGTTTTTCAGCCTAGAATTACCGGGCTCTCGATTCGATTGGGAGTCCTGAGTAGGACAGGCGATTTGTTAATCACTGATAACTTGTGTCTTTCAGGGCCCACACCAAGCATGCTAGAAGTTCATGGGATTGTGGACAAGATGGAGATTCTGATGGAAATGAAGGCCCTTCTCATAGCAATCGAAGGTCCCCTCTAGAGGAAGGCTATAGTGACCACAAGAGGCACAAACACTCCAGAAAACATATATCTGTCAATGGTGGTCATGAACACTGAAGACAAAGGCATATGGCAGTTGGTGAAGAAGATTGGCAAAGAGAGGGAAAGGGGGAAGGAGGGCTGCAAGGGGAGAGAGAGTAGGTAGGTGCGTTAATGGGTGTGGTGGCGGGTCACAGGGCTGATGTTGGTTGAAGGCGTGGCAAGGACCACGGGGAATCAAGGAAGAGATGGTTATTGTGAATCGGTTGGGGGATGATACTGAGTTGTTTGTGAAAGGTATAGGCTCTCTCTCTCTCTCTCTTCCTCTTGTAAATACAAAGTAGATGTTACACAAATCTTGTTCATTTCTCAGTCTCTCTCCATTCGTCAGTCTCAATTTGGCCTTTCTCTTTTTCGAGGTTAACATCTCTCTCTCCATTTTGTCAGTCTCAATTTGATAGTATCTCCTCTCTCTCTCTCTCTCCATTTTTCAGTCTTTGATAGTATCACATTTTGAAGGTTAACGTCTCTCTTGTTCTGTTAATGTTAACTACGAATTTCATTGCAAAACAAAGAAGCACATAAAACGCACAATTATAAGACAGATGTAATCACTTACAATGATTGGTGAAGATTACCTTTAGCTAGAATCAGTATTTTAAAAATCGGGTGATCCGGATCGAGTATTGTTCAGCTCATTCTGGATCTGGTAAAAAAATGGGATCAAAACCGGTTTATTTAGAAAAAATCATAAGTCAGATTTGATGATGTCATAAATCGTTTTGTATGGATCATTTTGGAATTTATATAAAATAAACGGTATACGAATTAATTATTTACAAGGGTAGCTCTCAAAATTTGTTTAAAATTCGGATGGATTATTTTGAAATTTATATAAAGTAAATGGTATACAAATTAATTATTTAGTTACAAAGGTAGCTCTTGAATTTGTTCAAAATTCACATGGATCATTTTGAAATTTATATAAAATAAATGGTATATAAATTAATTATTTACAAGGGAAGTTTTCGAAAAATCTTCAATTATGTATAAGGGTAGCTCTCGAAAGTTTTTCAAAATTGAGGGCTTATGATGCCACGTTTTTTGCCATTTGTCAGCTCCCATTGAACACGTACCAGTCATGCAATTGTATTAAAGTGTACGTGCCACATTTTTTTATAGTAGTGAATTCGTTTTTAAAGTTTCAATGTGGAATACTCAATGCACACCTGTCTCTCTCTTATAAAAGGATATCTATCAAATGAAATGGTTTATAATTTTTTTTTAAGATTAATTATATTTATTTATTTTTAAGATTTAACGTTTTTAAGGATTATATATAATATACAAACATACAGGGTATATAATTAATCTTTAATTACATATAATAATTTATAAAAATTAACATAATTATTATTTATTTATGTTAATAATTTAATATAATTATGTTAAATTTATATCAATATAATTATTATTATATACATTAAAATTATTTTTAAATTATATGGAAGTGTTTTTTAATATTTTAAATTATTTTATATAATATTATAATATTATATTATAATTAAAACAAAAAACAATACTATATTAATGTTAACATAAGTTTGTATAGAGAAAGAGCATCTTAATATTCACAAATTGATAAAAAAAATAAAAGTTAATATTGTAGTGCTTCTATTTCTTATTGGATTATTCAAAAACGACATTTATAAAGATTTTTAATAAATTTTTAAAATTATTTTATTGGCGAATCCGATCGATTCGATCGATTCTAAATCCGAACTGTCGATTCACCGATCCGAATGTGCTTTTGAGGTACCCAATCCAGGGCACCGATCTATTTTTTAACCCACTGACTTACCTTCTACATAACAGTGTAAAGAATGAATTTCATGGACGAGAGCTATTACTCTCTACGGTGTTTTCATCTACCCTTTAGCCCATGTAGTAACTTTATAAAAATTACCTTCGATCACCCTGTGCTACCCGTGTACATATATCTCTCAATGAGAATTGACTTGTGCCTACTTCAACGTGGGCACGTCCAAGGAAAAGAGTCCAGCATTGATTGGTTAGCGCATGACTATTTACATCGTTACCTCCTACGCTCAATTAACGTGAGCACGTCAATTCTCGTATGTGATGATAAAACGTAGATCGTTGGTTTTTTTAAGTGGACCATAAGTTCTCCCCTCACCCGCTCTCTCTCTCTCTCTCTACCTCTCAACAAGAGACAAAACTGTGGTATGGTAGGGTACCCTAAGAGTCACAAATAGCTTCCGGGTTTCTTTCTCTCTCTATAAAGTACTCAAAATGCATTCTAGGCCGTTGTGGATGCATGTGAGACATGAACCTCGAGAGAGAATTAAAGAGAGACTACCCACTTTATAGAGAGAGACAAAGAAACTTGAAGGCTATTTGTGACTTTAGGGCACCCTATCAGACCACAGTCTTGTCTCTTATGGAGAGGGAGAAATTATGGGCCACTTGAAGAAACCAACAAGCTGCGCTTTATCATTGCATGCGAGATTGGACATTTGCCTATGTAGAAATAGCGCACACATGCACTGGTAGAAAAGAGATAAAAGTGCGCTTTATCTTTAGAAATAAAAGGAAAAGGAAGGGTGTGCTTTGCGTAAGGCCGCATCCTTCAATAATCCAAGTAAGATGCACCTCTAAACTTCATCACGGGGTATAATTTCGGTGTCGAAAATTCTTATGATGGACTGCCAAAAAAATAATAAAATAAATAATAATTCTTAAGATAGTTCAAAAATCTATTTTTATCTCTCATTATAAAATGTTTGAATTTAAAAAATAGTTCAAATCAAGTATAACATATGAAAATTTTGAAAATAGAAGGTTCAGATAATGTGTTGCACGACGTATTATTTTTAGCCTTTGAAATATCTTTTTCTTTCCGTATTTATATATTTCGATGTCGAGACGATCAATTAAATATTTTTTCAACATCAAAACAACTTTTCTCAAAGGATTTTAGAAGTACACTTTGATTCTACATTTTAAGATGTCAACTTTTTTCAAAAGATTTTAAAAGTACACTTTGATTCTATATTTTAGAAATACACTTTAATTTCACAAGTCCAACATAGTCTGAATTCTTTCTAAAATTTTGTCCTAGACAGCTACTGATAATCTGGTATTCCTGGAGATCTTTGACAAAGTGACTCGGGCGAATGCCAGGGGTGGGTGATGTTGTAGATGTTAATTAGGTCTCTTGGAATGTTACCTTTCCTTATAGTACACTTTGGCGGATTCGCTTGTAAAGGGTGGTGCTATGCGCCTTCTCTTTTTATTTATGATAATGTAAGTTTCTTTTATTTAGTTGTATAATAAATAAAAGTTATAATATTTGTAAAAAAAGAAAAAAAAAGAAAGAGATGTCAACCTTATATAAACTTTTTTTAAAGGGAATGATTTATCTTTTGAGAAGGAGAGGTAGGAGAAAACATAGGAACGTGAACTCTTATCCTACGGTTAGAGAGAGACCAATGGAAGGCTTTACTTTAGAGAGAGAACAATGGAAGGCGTTATATTTGAGAGACACCAATGGAAAGCTTTATGTTTGAAAGAGAGAGTGGAAGTTTTGGTTTTTTTTTTTTTGAGAGAGACTATTGGAAGACTTTTTGTTTGAAAGACAGGGTGGACGGCTTTTCTTTATTAGGAGAGAGACTTCAATTTTTAGAAAGATACCAATGGAAGGCTTTATATTTGAGAGAGAGACAGGGGGTATTAATCTTCAAAAAATGAGAGAGATTAACCTTCAGAGAGAGATTTAAATGTAAAGCTTTTTTTGAAAGAGTTTTCAATGGAAATCTCATATGAGAGAGAGATGGAAGGTTTTAATTTTGTGTCTGAGTGAGAGAGAGAGAGCAATGGAAAACTTCATTTTTTTAGAGAGAATTTAATGGAGGTTTTTGATGTGCGTATGAGAGAGAGAGGGGGAGAGAGACCAATGGAAAGCTTTATTTTTAGAAAGAGTTTATAGGTCTTTAAATATAGAGAGAGAGAAGTAAGGGGGGGAAGGATTTAGTGTTATGAGACAAAGGCAATAATGGGATAGCGATAAATAGCATCACCACGCGCACAAAATCATCAAGTTGAATGTCAAAAATATGGGTGGCATCCCATTCTCTAAAGATGCTGACAAAATGACTAGGGCACAAAAAGGATATTCGCTCAGATATCCACCATTCCTTTCTTTCTTGAACAAATTTATTTGACCTTTTATTTTGAATTTGGGAAGTGATTTAATGCAATGATTGTATCACAGTACAATACAAAAATATTCAAAAATCATGTTAGGACCGTTTGTTTGATCTAAATTTTAGAATATACTTTCTTTTCATTCTAATGAACAATCACAAAAAACAAAAAAAGAGAAGAAAAAAAACACAACTTAAAAAGTATTTTTTTAGCCCAATTAATATAGGCTGTCCATTTTGATAAGATGCTTAGATCTAGGTCTTAGAAGGAATTTTTTTTTCCTTTTCCAATTTTTTTAGATGGCTTTATTATTCTTAGATGAACAATGTTGAAAAAGAAAAAAATGATTTTGAGTTTGTAAAGGCTAAGATGTTGAAATTCACCAGATGCATGGTTTAGATTCGTTGTTGGAGGGAACTCATTTTGACCATAACTAGGGTTCAAATTGAATTTTTTTTTTTTAGGATTCATTATTGAGATGAAGGAAGTGTGTGTGCAAACTTTTTGGGTTATACAAATACCACAAATATAGTTTTTTAGAAGTGTAGTTGAATTATACTATGATACAACCATTGCATTACATGACAACGATCTAACGGCTCTCATTCTACTTATATTACTATTCATTATAGTTGTTCAGCTATTGTTAGTTTTTTTTTTTTATATATATATATAAACAGACTATTAATTTTTTATCCAGAGAGATCACAATCATTATTGTCTCTTAAATTTCAAAATAGGTGGTTATAAAAGTGTCATAGAATAAACACAAAATTCAACAATTGAAATCGAACTTAAGATACTCCATTTCTACTGTCAACTACTAAGGCCAAGCCTTCTGCCCAAATATTAAAAGCATCTTTGCCCTATTCCGTGGCATATAACGGAAAGTGGTGTTATTTTTGAACTTTTGTCGCTATTCAATATGGAAGTGGACCCACGAAAGAATCAGGTTCTGTTTTATTTATTTATTTTACCAATTTTTTTTATTAGAATATGAAGGAAAAGCCAAAAAAGAAAGAGCGTGTGGGTCTGCTTTTCTTCTTGAATGTATAAAAAAAGGCCATGTGTTTTTTCATAAATGAAAAGCAAAAATGGAAAATTTTAAAAGGATGCTCGGTTGTTACTTTAGAAAAGGATTGATGGAAGAATACTTCAGAAGAAAGGAAACCTTTGTCCCAATGAGAGAGAGATTTGGTAGATTTTATTGTATGTGAGGGGGAGAGAGAGAGATTGATTTAGTGGATTTTATGCATTTGATAGAGTCGTTTAGTAGATTTTATGTATTTAGTAGATTTTATTGTATGTATGTGAGGAAGAGAGATATTTAGTAGATTTTGTGTTAGAGAGAGAGAGCAATTCTTCAAGAATCAAAATGAATAAGAGAGGAGAGATGGAGGACAATGCTTCAAAATAAATGAGGGAAAATAATTCTTCAAATTGGATGAGAAAGAGATCAATTCATCAAAATATGAGAGAAAAAATCCTTAAAATGAATGAGAGAACAATTCTTCAAAATGAATGAGAGAACAATTCTTCAAAATGAATGAGAGAGAACACTTCTTTAAATTAGATGAGAGAGAGAGAGAGCAACTATTTAATATGTGTGAGAGAGAGAGAGAGGAGGAAGGGATGAGAAGGGAACGGGGTAGCAATGGACCCAACCGGACTCGGGAACCAACAGGTACATTTGACCTCTCATCTGGGAATGGGTCCAAATATTGGACTCGAAAAGTCAGGTCTAGGTCCAAAACCTGGAACCAAAAACTATTCGTATCCGAGTCTAGCTAGACCCCACCTGACCTGTTGCTGCCCCTAGTGGGGGGAGGGGTTGGGATTGGAACGTGGTGTAGAATCCCTAAAAAGTAGTAAGAACACTTGGAAATGCTTGTTTTTTCAGATATTCTCTCGTTTAAACTCTTAACTTGGAAAAGACGACAATATATCCATGAGTTTATACCTTCCCTAAAACCCTATGTGAGCTGTTTTTTTTTTTTTGGGTAATTTAGTAGGGAAGACATGCCCTTACCCGTTTTATTTATAAGTAGATCAGAAGTTAGCTTGAAGGTGTTAATGGGGCGGTGCTAGTGGTGAGAATGGAAACACAACATGGTGAATAGAGTATTGAGTGTGGAGTACTACCACCCCAAGCCCAGCGTATTTTCCAAACCCAAGTAACCTTACTTCAACAATAAAAATAAAAACGAATTAAAAAATAAAATAGAAATTCAATTGAAAATTTTGAGAAAAAGCAATCCAGGGCACTCACATAAACTGATTATTTTATATTCATAATTTTATTTTATTTTTTTGTAGATCAAATTAAGCCAAACTTGATTTACCCAAAAAAAACAATTTAGCCAAAATTTGGAGCAACCATAATTCTCAAGATAAAAAACAAGGTAAAAATACTTAAAATTTGCCAAAAATAAAATGATTGTTAGGAATCATTAAAAGACAATAGAAGATGAAAAAAAAAACTATAAAAGATTGAATATTAAAAAAATTGATTTATACCTTGAATATTCATAAAACCAAAAACAAAAAAAAAAAGAAAAGAATAAATATCTAAAATCATCTTAAAAACCATCAAAATCATCTAAAAGCATTCATAAATATATGGACAATTTTTACTTTTGTGTTTTTAACTTCTTTTTTTTTAACAAATAGTTTTAACTTTTTTTTTTTTTGTACTCAACAAGTTATTCACCCCAACCCTTTGTCCAACTCGCCTTGCCAATAGGGAGAGGCCAAATACTTGATCAAGTCTGAGTAAATTTTGGCCGAGTCTAAACTAAATGATTTTAAGTATTAAAAAACAAATTACAATACACCGAAAAGTGAGGCTTAAGCTTGAGTTTCAAAATGCTGGGGACATTTTTTCAAGGGGCAGTTTTCATAAGTATTGACATTAAACGGCACACCTCCAGACTTTGTTTGACAATGTAGTTTTGGAATTGAAATTTTTTTACGTTGACTTGAAAATTTATTTTTAACTCTAATTATAAAATTTAAATCTCAACAGATAGTAAGAATCAAACACATATATAAACGCTTGAAGATCTTAAAACAGAAGGCCCATATATTACGTTGTAAGATTCATTATTTTGTCTTAAAATTCTTTTATTATTCATATATATTTAGAGGTCAAGATGATCAATCGGAAGGTTCTAACATCAAAACAACCTTTTTTTTTTTTTTTTTCAATGGGTTTTTGAGATGCCTTTTGCTTCTAGAACATGAGATTGATCCCTTATATACACACTTTTACTACTTTGAAAACTCTTATAATAAAATGATATTTTTAAAATTTTCTTAAATATGATATGAATAAAATAAAATATGAAAAGAAAAACCCTAGCCTTACACTTGAAGATGCTATTAACCGAATTTGATATCCCCTTTGAAATCCGCTCCTATAAAATTGGCCCTCTCCTCCCTCAATTAACCGGTTTCGCCCTTCAAAACGCGAAACTTCCATTTTCCTTGGAGTTTTATTTTTGAAAAAAAAAGCATAAAAAAAAAAGTTCTCTTCTTTTTTTCTGATTTTCTGTACAAATTGAATTCGAATTTCTGCTTTATCTGGTTCTCGAGCTACTTATTTTCTGCCAATTAATGGTTTAATTTTGGAAAATTCTCTGTTTAAATGGCACCTCATATGTGACATCTCTGTGAAAAAAGAGAAATTCATTCATTTTGTGAACAAGAAATACACTGTAAGTAATAATTTTCCTTTTTTTTTTTTGCTCAATTTGGAGTTTCATCCAGAGAAAATTCACTGTAAGTTGAGTTTCTCTGGATTTTATAGCTTCAGTTTCTCAATTTTTATGTTGAAATTCACTTACTTGGCTGAAGTTCTCTGTATTTGATTTCTTGATTACTCTTTTTATGCCTTTTAGCTCACTATAACTGTAAATATTTTTTGTTTTTAACTGCTTAATATCAAGAAACTGTATATTTTTCTGTGCTTGAAAGCTTAATTACTTTAATTTCTCTGTTATTATTCCTTTTAATTTCATGAAAAAAGTTCATGGTTATAGGAAAGAAATTTCCAGATAATCCTCGGTTTAAATCAACCAAAAAACCGAATTAATTTTCGGTAAAGAGATCTTTGCTTGTCTTTTTTTTTTTCCTCAATTTTCTTTCTTTTTAATCATTTTTCATCATATTTTATCCCATTTCAAGCTTAAAATACTAAAAAAAAAAAAAACTTTTTTTATACACTAAAAATAAAAATTATAATTTGGTATACAGTGGTGTATTTTTTTACAGAGTTTTTAATATATTTGTGGGATATTTGGGGTTTTTAATAAAAAAAATTCTCTACACTTAAAAAACAATTTCAACTTTTTGTTAAGAAAATATGGCGGGGAATGAGTGGATAAATGGCTATTTGGAGGCAATTTTGGACGTAGGGGCAAAATTGGAAGAAGGTTCAAAAAATAGTGCATGGGCAAAATTGGACGAAGGTTCAAAAAATAGCAAGGGTTTCATTGATCCCACCAAATACTTTGTTGGGCAGGTCGTAACGGGATTTGATGAAACGGACTTCCATAAAACCTGGATAAAGGTATGTGTCTGTGTCTGTGTCTGTGTCTGTGTCTGTGTCTGTGTCTGTGTCTGTGTCTGTGTCTGTGTTCGTGTCGGCATTCGTGTCCGTGTCAACATCTGTCTCACTTATATATCTGTACTATTGTTTTTTGGTAAGTAAAAAGTGGTGTGTCAATGGCGATTTGGCCTCTACATTTTTTGTTTTTTTTTTTTGGTAAGAATGAATTAGATACCTCATCATGAAGCTCGACAATACTACCCCTTAAGCCCCCTGGCATTTTCAATATCTGTACCTCTTGCTCTTCACTATGTGCGTGGGGTTTGCACAAGGTTGCAACTTAAACAATCAAAGTAGGTGCACCTGCAAACTTTATATAAGATGTGATTTTAGTGTAAAATTGTTTTAGGTCGGCTTAAAAATTTATTTCATCTTAAAGTAAAATTTCAAATTACATAGATCTATAAATAGATAATGCAGATAATGTATAACAAGATATATTATTTATGAACCTTGAAAGAAAAAAATAAATAAATAAATATATATATATACATTATTGAGGTCGAGATAATCACTAGGAGGGCTTTCCAATGTCTAACCAACCTTTTCTTATGGATTTTTAAGTTGAACTTTACTTCAGTAGAATAAGGTTGATATCTTGTATAAACTTTTTCCTATATCTTTTGTATATATGGGGAGTAATTTTATACAATGGTTATATAATAACACAATAAAATAATATTTAAGAATCATATTACCTCCATTTTTTATATTAATTTTTAAATATACACTATTTTCATTCCAATGAATAATCGTAAAAAAAAAAAAAGAGTAAAATTTGAAAACACGTATTGGAAAGTATTTTGTTAGCAAGGCTATCTACTTTGGTAAAGATACTTGGATCTAGAATGATTATTTCCCCTTTTCGGATTTTTTAGATGGTTTTATTATCATTAGATTAACAATACTAAAAAAAAAAAAATTGATTTTGTGTTTGTAGAGGCTTAGATATTAAAATTCACTGAATAAATGGTCTAAATTTATTATTTGAGGGTATTCATGTTGACCATATTTTTAGGAATTGTTACAATGAGATCATTTACCTTTGATATAAGGTGGTCACAAGTCTTTACAACCATTTGATGTTAAATTTGATAGTTTGGATGTGTTACAAAGTTCGAGAAAAATTCTATTGAAGTTTAAGCTTGGTTAATGGAATAATTGCAGCCATCCAATGTCGCATCCAATGTTCAAGATTAATGTGACCATGTATCAAAGGTAAATGGTCTCATTCGATAGTTTCTCATATTTTTAATACCCTCTATTTAAGGTATGGTGGAACCACCATTACCAAACATCCATCTTTGATATGGATATTTGATGCGTGAGGGGACACATACATGGACATGTGTCCCTTGACACACATCTCGTAGCCATTGGATATAAAATTCAGATTTGATTGAAAAATTAGAGACAAAAAAGATGGGCGGAAAAACTTGGTAAACATATACATGGAAGGGGGAAAAGTATTGATACCTTTAAAAACACCTAACTCCTAAATTCTTCGAAAAAAAACGGGTAGGGCCATCTTCCCCACTGAATTATTAAAAAATAAAAAATAAATTAACATGCATGATCTCATTGATAAAACTTTATTTAGACTATTGAGATAATATACCCTAACGATAAACATGGTATTTTATATGTGGGACCAAATCTACAACTTGGACTTGCTAAACCACCATACTTGTACACTTTGGTCTTGCAGAAAGCACTTCTTTGTTCTTTATTTGGTATATCTAAATTTTCCTTGATTTTTAGGTTTGGTATATCTAAATTTCCCTTAATTTTTTGATGAATAAATTATTATTTTTTCTAAAGTTTCATATTTTGCTCTATTTTCTCTTAACTTTCTATTTTCGAAAAATGGATGATACAGGTGATTGCCACCAGGAACACACGTGAGCGCAATAACCGACTAGAGAATATGTGCTGGAGAATATGGCATCTTGCAAGGAAAAAGAAAAAGGTACCAATTTCGGTTGATTTCGGCGAAATTTCGGTTCTTTCGCCGAAACCCACATGTAACATTTTTTTTTTTTTTCTTTCTTGTATTTCGTAATAATTGTACAGAATTGAGCTAGAACAAGTCAATATTTAGTTTTTGAAAAAATATACAACAAAATTATTTACGTTTAGTACAAACTACAAAGTGATCACACTTAATCTTGTCTATTAAATATAAAATTGGGCTGATGCATTTATTTCATTGACAAAGCTTAAAGTTCAAAAACAAAAATTTCATGAAGTTTGTGACACGAAGCTATCAATTTCATCATAAGTAATTGCGATTTTCTTGTACCAAAGGTAAATGGTCTGATAATATATAATCTCTAAAGAAAGTCACCATCATTTTTAGCCATTAGATGTAAAATCCAATAGATTAAAGTGTATCATAATATTCAATAAATTTTGTATTGGACTTTGTGCGTAATCAATAGCATATTCTTAACCGTTCAATTTCACATCCAATAGTCAATAATGAAAGCTCCTTGTATAAGAAATACATGGTCTCATTGTATACATTTCCTCGTCTCTCCTTTTGTAAAACGGTCCAAAACTATTACTTTTGAATAGGACATAAATGGAAAATAAAAATAAAAACACAAAAAAATAAAAAAATGAGCATGAACCATAGGAAAAGTATACAATAAGAATGTTTATTTTTCCACAAGGATGTCACAATAATTGTTGATCATTTGATTTGAAATCAGGTGGATGGGGTTGTGTGATTGAGTTGGCAAAAAACTAAAAACAAAATTCTAAAACAATAGACACACCCTAGTTGTCGATTTCACATCTGATGTCTAAGGGTGATTGTGATATATTTGTACTATAAGTGAATGATCTCATAATACGCAATCTTTAAAATAAAATATGAATTTTTTTTTTAAAAATATGACTAATTAAAAGAGATTAACACAAATTTCCTTGTTAAAAATTAATACATTTTTTGAGGTACGAACTTAGAAGTAGGAGGGGGTCTATGAAGCCATTATCATTTGAACCAAGGTTTTAGAAAATCGGCTGATCCAAATCGGAATCGGCCGATCCATATTATGAATCGTCGGGGGCGAATCGGTTCCGATGAAATATCGGGAATCGGTCAGTTCCCCCCATGACAATGCCGACCGACCCAACTTTTTTATTTTTTACAATTTATTTTAGTGACCGGTTCGGCAGACGTTGTCGCCGATCCACCAAACCAAATCAGAAATCTGGATGCACGATCCAGGTCGCCAATCCATTTTTAAAAACCTGGATTTGAGCGAATCCAAAAATCTGTGAGCCACACAAAGTCGCCCAAGTTGGCTTAGAGAATCAAAAAATCCGTGAGCCACACAAAGGTGCCCAAGTTGGCTTGTGGGGATGCCCAATCGCTTTAAGTTGCCTAAAAAATTGGGTGGCTCATTGAAAGGACACAATGGTTCTGAGTTAAATGCTTATATTTTCTTTTTTCTCATATTATTTTCTTTTTCTTTTTCACTGTATGGCTTGAGGCTGGAAGTGAACCGAGATTCTAACCAATTAGGCCGGACTCGGCACAATATCCCTGTTTTTTAATTCTACATCTGAATATGACTTTGCAATTTGATGAGGGAGGACAAGCTTTTTATATTTTTCCTAATGTATAAAACTTATTATATACTTCTCTCGTCCAACCGTCGATTCTGAATGCACGGCTGAGATGCCTCTATATTCTCTTATTTTTTTTTAGTTTTTTTACAAAACATTTTGACTCTAAATTTGGGCGTTCACTCTTTTTTTAAACTCACACCAGTAAAAGCTAAAAAAAATATTCTCAAAAATATAAAATGACAAAAATACCTTTAAAAGTTTTAGGGATATTTTGGTCATTGTAGTTTCTCTAAATGTTTTTTAAAATATTTGTTTTAGGGGTGCGAAAAAGTTAAAAATAAAATACTAAAAAACGTAAAATCTAGATCAAACAGTGGCTCACTTTATTAAAATTGGAGTGTGGGGGTGGAAGATTTCATGATTCGGTACTACTTTAATATATCTAGCTAAAAAGATTTCATGCTCCCGATGGAGTATATTGCCTATTTACTCCCTAGGGAAAAATCAAACCTAGGAAAATTTTTAGGATCTTAATTTTTGGGAATGTGACATCTTTGATGCAGATGCTATGCTAAAGAAAAAGAAAATCCAAAGTGCATTTTCTATTGACTTTAAAAAAAAATGCCTTGAGATTGAATAGAAAATGTTCTATTTTTGACAGGTGAGATCTAAGTGTGACCTCAAAATTAAGAAAATTTCTTTTGGATATAATCATTTAGTGATTTTTAGATGGTTCCTAAAATTTCGAATAAAAAAAATCTTCCCACGTTAGTCTCCAGCCCAAGAGAGTAAATATGTAGTGTATGCTCCCGCAGGAACATAGTATACACGCTCATATATCCATGCACAATTCCCATGATTTAGCTCCCTAAAAAACTCTTCGTACTTATATTGCAAATGAGGGTGACCATGCTATACTAAGTTACCCGTGACCACACGAGATGTGTGGTCTTGACCCTCCGCTTCCAATCATTGGGTTCCATGAGAATGTTTGAATGGTCCGCGACTAGTGTTATTGCAGTGGCGCTCTTGCTACTGGCTTCTATTACTATTGCTTTAGGGAAATTTATCAAAATACATTTAAAAATTAAACCATTTAATATTTTACCATGGATGTATTTTGATAAAATTCAATATTCTATGCTAGATGTATTTTGTAAAGTTAAAAATCTATTTTTATCATTCGAGGGGTTTATCTGAAATTAAATAAAAAAAGGAAAAAAGTTAAATAGTTCAATTCTTAGGTGTAGTCTAATAAATTTCTCATTATTTTATTTTTAAAATTAAAATTTTTGGTGTGAAATTAGGCCTTTCAGTTTGCAATTACTGTGTAGTAGGGAAACAGGCTTGAGTCGTGGTGATGGCACCCCCACACCCTAGTCACTACGTTGTGATTTTCATTCCCACTGACACCACTCCACTAAAACCTTCAAGTAATTAACTCCTAAACTCTTTGAAAACACGGGTAGGGCATGTCTTTTCCACTGAATTACCCAAAAAAAAATTACCGTGTAGTAGATTGAATGGGATGATGCAAGGCGACTGGCAAAGCGCTACTTGAAGCGCGAACAAGGGCGGAAGGATGCGGCCGCGGACATGTCTGAGGACTTATCAGAAGGAGAGAAGGAGAAAGGAGAATCTTCACTAAGTGATGCATCAAAGGAGAACATAGCTCGGATCAACTCAGATCTTCAAATGTGGAGCGAGGAAAACAAAGATAAACGGTTGTACATCGTCTTGATTAGGTATGGTTTCTTGCAATTAAGAAATAGGAATTATGAGGGTTATATAGATATTAAGTAAGATACATTATGATACATGCGACCACAAAAAATCTATAGTCATAAGTGTCGTTAACATTGATCCTTGATTGGGAGGTGGCGATACTTGTGACCATTGAATTTTGTGTGGTCATGTGTATCATAGTATATTTTCCCTTGAAAACTAAACTTATACAAACAAATAAGTATTTTCATATCTAAATAGCATCTTCCATTTAGCATCTTTAAAGCCTTTTCTTTAATTCCATTTCTATGCTTTGTATTTATTTCTTGGGATATTAATCTATGGTTTTAAATATGGAAAAAATTTATTTAAAGGCTGAGGCCCTGAACAGGCAAATTAAAGCGCACCTTAAAAATGCATTAAAAAACGGTTATTTCGATGCTGAAAAACCTTCAATTCAATCATTTCGACTTCAAGATGTAGGAACATGAGAAAAAATAGATTTCAAGTCTTGAAAATAGTGTATTTTGTAATATATTGTTATCTAGAGCATCAATTTTCAAGATTTTCAAGTGTTCATAGATACGCTCGATCTACCCTATTTTTTAACTTTAAATTTTATAATTAGAGATAAAAATAAATTTTCAGGCCATCATAAAGATTCATAATACTAAAAGTTTGAAACAACATATCTCAACACTATTCGAAGGTGTGCACCACTTTGATTGTTTAGGGCCTTGGCCTTATACAAACCACACCCTTTAAATATTTAAAATTTTACGAGGTGTAATTTGATAAATTTTAGAAGCCATTTCATGTGCCATGATGGACTATTTGAAAGTAGATAGAAGAATATGGATAAGATGTTAAATAGTTCAAATGTTATGAATTGTTATGAATGTCTTTACTTACTTTTGCTAAATTTTATTCTTTTTGTTCGTCTTTTTTCTGCTAAACTTTGTTCTTTGTATTTAGCTTGCATGGTCTGGTTCGTGGAGAAAACATGGAATTGGGAAGGGATTCGGACACAGGTGGCCAGGTAAGTGAAAATAAGAAAAAGGTAGCCTAGTTTGCATTTGTTACAAATGGGAAGGTTTGAACGAATAAGTATTTTCATATCTAACATTGGGGTGTTTTTTTTTTTTTTGTTAGTTTTTATTTTTCCCAAAATACTTCTAGTCAAGCACTTGAAGTGTCAGACAGCATCTGAAATATCTTCTTTAATAAATTAGCTTGGCACTTGACCGACTTCTCTCTAATAATTGGTCCAGCACTCCTAGCGCGGGACTAACCTCAGCCATGTGTTTTGCTAAAAATCGGTCTAGCATTTTAAGTACGGAATTGTTTTCTTGTCAACCAATTCTAGGAGATTTATATCTACCAACACACCTAGTTCTTTCTAGTTTCAGAGTTTGGCCTGATACTTGGAGTGTCAAACTGACATTATCATAGAGAAGTCGATCTTTTACTCCAAATGTTGAACCGACTTCTCTAAAATTTATGGATGGAGTCCAACACTTTAAGTACCAAACTAGGGTATTTTTGGCAAAATAAAAAACTATCCAAAAAAGGGACCTTGGTGTAAAATGTGAAAAAGGGGATTATTTTCAATTATGAAAAAGAAGATTTTTTTCCCCAAAGAATTCAATATTCTCACTTAGTGATATAGAATTCAAATTTGACTTCATTCACCATCATTATTCATGCACCCTCAGTAGTATAGATATAACATTAGTTTGAAGTGTCCAATTTTTAAGTAACCATTCTATAAAAAACATAATGTTTTAGTCAAATTTGGTGCGATAAGAAGACTATTTTCTCATAGAAATGGAAGATGACTCTCAATGGATAATAGGAAAAATACCCTATAAAGAATTATCAAAATTTATGCACAATTATTTTTTATGGCAAATGAAGAACTGCACATGACTACTTTCAAATGATCACAGGTGAAGTATGTGGTAGAGCTTGCTAGAGCCTTGGCTGCAACAAGAGGAGTATATCGTGTGGATCTCCTGACCCGCCAGATCTCATCCCCAGATCTCGACTGGAGCTACTCGGAACCGACAGAGATGCTCACCTGTCCACCGTCAGATGACAATGGCGATGGTGAGAGCGGTGGGGCCTACATTGTTCGCATACCTTCTGGGCCTAGGTAAAAAGCTACAGTCTTAATTAAATATGGTCACTTGGGGGAGCATAATATATATTTACTCCCTTGGGAGGGTTTTATAACTGGAATGTAGGGTTCCAGATGAGCATTTGTAAAGAAAGGAAAAATTGAATTTTGAGTTCCCTATTGTCAAAAAATTGGATGGTCTTTGTTCAATTTTGGGATATTATTTTCTTTATGCACATGTAAAGTTTTTTTTTTTTCTTTTATAAGTTGGTCATTGGGTTGAGTCGAGGAGGTTACATCTTCACAATTTAATGTCCTAAAAGTACACCTAGATAGGGTTTTACCAGAGAGTGTGAATGAACGGTATTCTATTGTGGTATAATCTTTTCACATTAAATATTATTACAGGCCAAAAATATTTTTAATGTATTTTGTTTTCTCTGCTGTTAATTAACGCTTTTGTTTTTTTAGTGAATATATACTCTCTCTCTTGTAAATTAATTTTTTTAAGAAGTGGAAATTAGGGCTGAGAATTTACCTAGTTTGGATCCGAAACCTAAATTTCCAGATCCGAGTGTGGATCAAAGATTTGAATCCGATTAGTTGGATCCAGACCCGACATCCAAAATTTGGATCTAAATAGAAATTTGGATCTGATCTTGGAATAGGTGGATCCAATCTGAATTTGGCCCAATTATTAAAATATTATATATTATTTAATATATCTACATATGTTATATGGTATTTTTTGTTATATATTATCCTATAAATATAAAAAAATATATAAATTTTTTTTTTGGATCCGATCCTATCCAGATCTCGATTTGGATCCTATATATACTTTTTGGATCCGGTTCTGGATCCAAAAATTAGGAATCCGATTGGGTCTAGATCTGGATCCAAATCCTATGCAATCTAAATCCAGATCTCAATGGATCTGGACCTGATCCAACTCATTCTCAGCGATAATGGAAACCCAGGGCACCATTAATTTGGTAAGCACTTATTTTTTTATTTTTTATTTAAAATAATAATAATAATAATAATAATAATGGTAATGAATCCAACGAAACTCTCACTCCCCTTGAAATGATGTATCGAGATGGTTGTAGAGAAACACTCGGAAGACTGAAAGTAAGCAAGGATAAACCTACTAGTTAAGGGCGTCTTTGTATAAGTTTGTCACGGGCCTAATTTTACTTTTGACTAAAGAAGAAGAAGAAGAAGAGGTTTTTGGCATTCTGGGCAATAGCTGGGAATATCGATGGCAAACGGGCCAATGAAAGCGGCGGGTTTTCGTAAAAGCGGGAGCAGACCCACTCCTGATTGGTTTACTTTTAAAAGAATTAATAACACCCTAGGTAGCTACTGTCTATCCAAACAGGCCCCAAAACCTCACAATCCAACAAACGTGTTTGTGCAATAATATGATTTGCATTACCTTCATGTTTCAAGCTTTCAACGGTTTGAACTTAAATGGCCCCATTTTGGTGTTGGTCATACAATTTGCACTTTTTTATGTAATTGTATAATGTAAATTACATCAAAAAATTAGACATTGGTTCTTTGGAAGCAATTTACAATGTTTAATTTAATTAGATGGTGGTGAACTCGGGGCCTGCACAATAACATATATGGTTCCCAACGCAGTAAGAAGTTATCATCATTACGCGCAACCACTAGTACTAATGCAGTGAGTTTGTTTTTCTTTTTTTTTTCCTTTTAATATTAAATTGAGTTGTAGTAGAAAATGGAAGCCCGCCACCTTGACCAACTATGCCTTGGACCCATTCCTGCTAAGATTAGGATATCAATGGACTACCACTACCACTAACTACAATTACCGGATAATTGATTACTACTGCTACAATTAGGGTATAATTGCACTACTACTACTACTACATGAATTTGATTTTTTTTCTCTTTGTTTTTTGTTTATGCCAGGGATAAGTACATACACAAAGAATCCCTATGGCCCCACATACCCGAGTTTGTCGACGGTGCCCTTGTCCACATCACCAACATGGCAAAAGCTCTTGGAGGATCCACCGGGGATCCCATGTGGCCCTACGTGATCCACGGTCACTATGCAGATGCATGTGAGTGTGCAGCCATGTTAGCTGGGGCACTCGGAGTACCAATGGTCATGACAGGCCACTCCTTAGGGAGGAACAAGCTTGAGCAACTGTTGAAACAAGGGAGGCTTTCAAAAGAGGACATAAACAGGAGCTATCATATTATGAGGAGAGTAGAAGGGGAAGAGTTGGGGTTGGATGCAGCTGAGATGGTGGTCACTAGCACTAGACAAGAGGTGGAGGAGCAATGGGGGTTGTATGATGGGTTCGATGTTAAGTTGGAGAGGAAGTTGAGGGCTAGGAGCAGGAGAGGGGTGAGCTGCCTAGGTCGATACATGCCCCGCATGGCGGTAAGCTTGATCATATTATATTTTGATATAGTATACTTAAACTCTATCTACTTTTAGTACTAAAAGATACCAATCAGTCTTAGCTGTCAGATTTATTGTACAATCAATTGTGCTCGAAATCTAATATTTTTTTTTAAAAAAACTTAATGTGGAGAAATGACACACCCTAGCCGTCCATTTTTACATTTGATGGCTTGGGGTGTTTGTGCTCTGAGCGTAAAAAATTAATGGTCTCATTCTATAAACTTCCTCTGCTATTTTCTTGTGTTTGGTTCTACTGATGCTATTACTTTCTTTTCTGATCTTACTAAGTGAATGTGATATACATGTGAACACACAAATATATGTGTGTTTATGGATACCTGTATGTATGATCTATGTACCTGTTTAGTCATGCCAATCCTCTAAAAAGAAATATTTTTAGTAGTTTTACTTATTGTTATTATTTTTGGTGAAATTGTTGGGGTTGTAAGTACCTCTACTCTAGCATTATTATTAATATATTGTTCCTAATATGTCAAATAAGAGTAACTAAGTTTGGGAGGAAAAGGTTACATATATATTTTGATTACTTGTTTGGTTTTCTTTTAATTTCGAATAGGTCATACCACCTGGAATGGACTTCAGCCATGTTACATCCCAAGACATGGACACAGACACTGACATAGCCTCCTTGATAAGCTTTGATAGAAATCAAGCCAAGAGAGACATACCCCCAATTTGGGCTGAGGTTAAACTGTGCAGCTTTTATTCATTATTATAATTATCATTTACTTGAGGTTCTTATGAAATATTGCCATTTTTGGTTAATTTACATAACTATTATGTAACACTTGAAAAAAATTAGGGTTATGTGTGTCCCACATGGGCTAGAAATTGATTGCTTGGATCCCGCTATTGAGTCTTTCAAACAATGTTTAAAAAGTCGGACATCGGTCCTGACTCGCTAGGGTCTCAAGCCTGAGTCCCCTTGGTCTGATTTGGGGAATCTGAATCAGACCAGAGAACATTTGATGGGATTGATTTTAAAAAGTATAAAAAGCAGGAGATTTGGTAATTCAGGATGTCTTTACTGGGAAAGACATCCAGAATCACCTAGCGCTTGATCCAATTGGTGAGCCCCAACTCTTTTTTTTTTTTAAATATACTTTGCTTCCAAATCCTTCACCATCTTTATAGGCAGGAAATGAAAAGGGCAAAGTGAGGTATCATTTCTCTGAAAGCTTAGTCCTTAGGCTTTGATGCATGAGCCTTGTTTGAACATGGAGGATTAATTGGAACATGGAAACAGGTCTAAGTAGTCTCTACAGACCCAGCTCTAGCTGGCTCTGACAAGGTAGAAGCGGATCTGGCCTTGGCATGGTCGGTCCTAGCCTTGTCAAGGCTCGCTAGGCCAAATTTAATCCAAGAAGAATTATGAGAAAAAAAGTAAGGGCCGTGCCAGCCCTTTTGTGGCCCTGGCCCTGGCCCAGGCTCAGACTCAACCTCAGCCTGGCTCACCCTTGGGCCACATCTTATGGCTCAGGCTCTTGTTTTTTAGGGTCAGGCCGCCCATTCCATTGCCAGCTCTACAACTTAGGAGTATTTTTTGGCTTTGCATTTTTCGGATTCACTGGAGTCACCAAATGAGCATTTTGAGAGAGAGCATTGATTTTTTATTTCTTAAAAACTCAGATATGACATTCAAAAAACTGGATGGCTTGGGCATTATTTTTGTTTCATGCCGACATAAAGTGTGTACATTTTGTTTTTTTATTTCTAAGTTTTTGCTTTGCTTAAGATGCTCGATCCTCAAAATTTAGGACCTTAAAATACTCTTAAAAAATATTTTTACTTAAAGGGTAAATGACTACATGCTTATGTGCTAAGATTTTCAGTTTTCCTAATATTTTCTTGTAGTTAATAATGGCAGGTAATGCGATTTTTCACAAATCCACACAAGCCAATGATCCTCGCTCTCTCTCGCCCTGACCCAAAGAAGAATGTAACAACATTGTTGAAAGCCTTCGGAGAGTGTCGTCCTCTGAGGGAGCTTGCAAACTTGGTATTCTTTTTACTTCATTGGTTTATATTATTCAAATACTATCAATTGTTACTATAGTTTCATTTTTAATAATTGGTTATGTTCGAAAACAAAAAACAATCTTTTTTCTTTTTGGGTAGTTTAGTGATCGGAATCGAACTTGAGTTACAACATTGCTAATGTCAACTGCTAGAGGTGGCAATGGAGTTGGGACCCGAGGGGGAGACCTGCTCTGGGTCCGGGTATGGGTTCAAAAATTGGACCCCTACAATTGGGTCATGGTCCAAATCTTGGACCCGAAAACTATTTTGGCCCGGATTTAGGTTTGGGTCCGAGTGCGGTAATATTTTTCTGGTCCCGATATATGAAATATGTGAATGCAAGATGCCAACGGAATGATCGGCTGGACAGAGGCTAGGGCTGCTTCCTTCCCACCATGTCCTTCCTTGTGTATTTAAATACAATTAAATACATAGATATTTTGATTTTTGGTCGGATCTGAGTCCCACACTATATTTTCAAGTCCGGCCGGACCCAGACCCGACCAGTTGCTACCCCTATCAACTGATGATCACTCAAGCCCAAATCCGATTCCTCATTTTTAAAATTGGTTTCCTTGGAGTTTTCGTTATGTCGACTAGGAGAGGCAATAGGGAAATTAGAACAAATTCAAAGTACTTAAGAAAGGCTACTTTAATTGAGAATGTGTACTATAAGACTTAACTTTGGTATAGGGGCGCCACAATTACCTATAGCCCTTTTGACACCTTGGGGCATTGTTTGTAAAATTGTCCGATCTAACTGCTAACTGCCCGATTAAATCGGTTTTGGGCGGTTAGGATGATCAATCGGTATTTAAAAAATAAATAAATAAAATGTATATAATTCTAAAAATAAGGAATTTGATTTGTACCGCATTTTTAAATATTATTTACACTATAGTAAAGATTAAAAATTGTTTTGGTCATTAATAGTCACTTTTATATTTTTCCATCGTTTTTAGAAAATTTTATTTAAAAACAGCCGTTGGAAAATATAAAATGGACTAAAATCCATTTTTTTCATTAATTTTCAACTTCATTTGAATGTGTTTTGTTTTAATCATTCTTTATATGCGTTTATTTTTTGTATCTTTTTTATTTTTTTTCAACATTTTATTGACCACCCGGGACTTGCCTGGTTAGAGCGGTTGAATCGCCTGATTTATCGGATAAGCCAGTTAAACCGCTTCCAAGCCCATCCTCAGCTGCCTAATATTGCACCCAATAGCTAAGATTGATTGTGACCTCCTTATACTAAAGATAAATGAACGTATTGTATATTTTTCCATTTTAATATGTACAAGATGTTTCAAGTATGAATTCACTAAATTGACTATTTCTATTTGTCCACAAGTTTCTCCTATTACGGTTTTCCTCTTATTACTTGAATTAGTATTTGCGCTACATTTGGGCATGCATATATTGTCACATAAACACGAAAAAGAGAGAGAAAAAAATCTAGGTTAAAATGAGTGTCAATAATTTATTATATTTCCAATATTTTTTGTGAGTTATAAATTTTTTCCCCTTAAATTTGCAGACCCTGATCCTAGGCAACAGGGATGACATAGAGACCATGCCAATAAGCACTGCAAGCCTTCTTACAACTGTGTTGAAATTGATTGATAAGTATGATTTATATGGGCAAGTTGCATATCCCAAGCATCACAGGCAAGCTGATGTCCCTGAAATATATAGGCTTGCAGCCAAAACTAAGGTACACAAAAAGACTTCACTTTAATTTTATTTTTTCTCAAAATTATCAGTTTTTGCCTTATCACCATTGTCCAAAGCAAATAATCATTTCATGAAATTTGAGATTAATATTTTATTAATTATAGCAAGACCACTTATTTTTAGTACAAGAACAATCATAGTCTCTCTAACTTTCATAAATGAAACTGGGTGGTTAAAGGTGTGTCATTGTCACATAAAAGGTGAGAAAATATTTCTCAGACTTCAAATACAATCCCAATAAGCCAATTTTATATCTGACTGTTAGGGGTGATTATTGACATTTAAAACCAAAGGTAAATGATTTTATTGTATACTTTACTGGTTTTAATTGTATTAATATGTTTATGTTAATTAGCTTTTTCAATGCAGAGTTTTGCCAATTACTCTATGTCTCCTTGTAGGGAGTATTTATCAATCCAGCTCTTGTCGAACCTTTTGGTCTCACTGTAATTGAGGTAAAGTTGAACATACTTTTGCCTTGCATTGGCTAAATTCTCACTCTAGTTGTTTTATATACATGTACATATAAAATAGTTGTTTTACATTATGTACAAAAATTTGGATTGGTGAGTCGTATCTATCATCCCCTTATTCCAAGTTGACCAAGCCGAGCCCCCGAGTCGGCTCGAGTATCTGTTCGATTCGGGTAGTCCCGAGTTGAAACCTCAACAATTGTTAAACACTGGTTGTAATGGTCTATTTTGCTCACTAGTTACTACAAAGTAGACGCTTACTGTAGTCATGCAACTTAGAGAACATCGACCGTCTACCTATTAAAGTCGGATTGTGAGGATGGAACATGGAGAGGGCTAATGCAAAGCTTTGTGCCATTGGCTTTTATACGAGCGGCACCACATGCAACCGCGCATATTGTGCTGGTCAAATTTAGTTGGATGATGCAGATTGTACCCACACTATTCCATCCAAAATTGGACAGTGCATATGGAGGGCCTTTAGGAATATGAACATTTTTATGTCGGATTTTATTTTTTTGGCTAATTTATTGGGGAGGACAGGTCCTATCGTTTTTTTTTTTCAAATGGTTCAGGATTTAGGCTTTTGAAGGTATTAGTGGGGTTGTGTCATTGGTAATAAAAACTACAATATGGTGACTAAGGTATGGGGGTACTACTTTCTTTTAAATTTAGAGCATGTTACAATTTTTTTTGCAGGCATCTGCTTATGGTTTGCCCGTTGTTGCTACCAAGAATGGAGGACCTGTAGACATCCTTAAGGTATAACAAAATCTCTCTCTCTATCTCTCTACAAGAAATGATCCCAATATTGGCTTTCTCTATCCCATCAAGTCGGTCATTTCATTCATAATTCAATGAAATATAGTTTTTGATAGCCTAATAAACTTCAATATACATTAGGATTGTACACAATGAGACTATTTACCTTCGATACAAAGAGATTACAATTACATACAACTATCTGATGTGAAATATGATAGCTTGGGTGTGTCACAAAGTTTGAAAAAATTTCTTTTGGAGTTTAAGCTTGATCAATGGAAGGAATGCAACTATTTAATTTTACATCCAAGATTAATTGTAACCGCCTTCTACCAAAAATAAATGGGGTGCAGTTTGCATATGGGATGCATCCGTAGGTGTAGAAGTAAGGTGCA